CATAAATAAAAAGTACTTTAATAAAATATTGAATGTAAGATGCTAAAACCTTGTGTAATGCACAGTAAAGGAAACCTGGGGTGATAGGGTTAACATGTTCCTAACTTTCTTGAGAACATCTTCTTTTCTCAAAATTACTATATTGTTTTCTTTAACTGGTTTTATTCTATTAATTCAGTCAAACTGAATGCATAAAGAGTTAGGGTACAGAAAATAACAGATAAAATATAAAAGTTTTTATGCTGTAACTTTTAAACTAGTAAGTGTATGTTCACGAAATTTGCAGATTATCAGTAAACATTAAAATGCTTTCATACACAAAATATCAGATATTTTTTATTATGTCTAAAGGTTTATTAAGCAATGTGTTTCTCATGCCTTTTCTCTTTTTGCATGTTGCCTATCTAACATCCAAAGTAATTTTCATTTTAAGATTAAAAATGTGATAACATTATACATGTACATATATTTACAATTTTTATTATATTGACCTTTCAGCCATGCCAGGCTAACAATACAGATGTTACAATGACGTGGCACACATGCACTCATGTTACCATATCCAATAATATAAAACTGAACATTAGTCTTTAAAAAGTGACCTATCTTAGCTGTCTTTTACTGGATTAGAATTTTGTAAAATACTAACACATTTCAATTTCTATACATTATATGTATATACATTATTACTATTTACAAGTAAGTTATTAAACTTATTTTTCTTAAAACATAAAACAGTAAATAAAGAAGTACAGAAAACAATTATATCTTCTAGTTACGACCTTTGTACTCAGTTGCTGCTTGTCGTAGGTTACTAAGCCTTACCTTTGTACTCAGTTGCTGCTTGTCGTAGGTTACTAAGCCTTACCTTTGTACTCAGTTGCTGCTTGTCGTAGGTTACTAAGCCTTATCTTTGTACTCAGTTGCTGCTTGTCGTAGGTTACTAAGCCTTATAAAATTCATGTGGAGGATATGAAAAGAAACTTTTTTAAGAATATATACATTTTCAACTAACCAAAAAATCATAAATTACTATATCGATACCAGAGATTTCCACTATAATTTATCAAGCTTAGTAACTAAGCTGTATTTGGGTCTAAAAAATATTAAATTTCGAGCAGACTAAAGACACAACTTTCCACCGTGAAGTTTTGTATCAAAAGAACGAGATGACGTCATAATACTTGAAAATGGCTGAGAAAGCCATTAGGGGACATTCTGAGCTTTTGATTGGTGTTATTCACATGACATAGACAGAATTAAGTGTATATAAGGGGGGTGTTTACAAAATGGAAAGAGGTGAGGCAGAGCCACTGTTTTTGATTCAGTACATGAACAATATCTCAGCAAATAGAAAAGATAGGAGGTTCTTATTTTATATTCTAGGTTATTAATATCAATAATTTGAGTTCCTAATTTGCACAAAATTATAGACTTTGAATTTTGACATCAGAAATATCTAATTTGAACCAGTTCTGTATTCAACATACCACAAAAATCAATGTTTAGGTGTGTTTTTAATATTTACTTTTAAATCAAGAAATTAAGTAATGTATAATACTAAAACTTGAATTATAATCTACAGTTTGATATTAAACTTATTGACATAAATTCATAAAATAGTAGTTCAATAAAATTTTGAATGCGAGTCAACAAACGCAATGACATGGCCTTTGATTCGTGATCCACGTGGAGAGGTTTAAGCAAATGAAATTTGACAATTTTCAGGTGAATAAAAGTATTTTAAATCTTAGAATAAAAATCACTTTGCATTCAGAGAGGTTAACACTCTGACTCAACATATTCGCAGACAAGTTTTTAGTAAAAATAATTAATTAAAAAATGTGTTTGCTTTATCGTACAAAAGACTTGTACCGTTTAACAGAAGCTTGTCAAATTTTGTGAAGATACAAAAACATATTAAAAGTTATAGAATGGAAACTGATGGTCACTTTGGAGTTACAAGGTCAGTGTATTACACCAAGCCCACAGCAAGAGGGTTAAAAAGACACTGCTACAAATACTTAAATGTGTAATATTAGATTCCAAAATTCATCCTCTTGTACGCTGTCTTATATCATCATAATAGGGGGAGAAAATTATCCATTTTTATACAAGGTAAAACTCAAAATAACAATTACAATATATTTTTATATTATCCAACTTATACAATATTTATAAAGGCTAATTCTTTAACTTACCCCAAGTTTGTGACAGTTGTTTACAGCATTTAACAACTGGAAAGCAATCCAGTGTTTTTCCATGCTATTAAGGAAAGGTCTAGTGCTGATTCGATCATACAAGTTGTCCTTAACATACTGACGGATGAGGATAGCAGCTTTCTCAGTCAGCTAGAGAATAAAGTGTTCTTAAGTCTTTTTTTTATCATTGTTGCTAAAATTAATAAAAATTACAGGAGTAATTAAAAACACTTTTCTTCAAAAATAAAAGAAATTGAAATTCTTGTCTAAATGAGAAAAAATCAATTATTAATTCTGTTTTAAATGGCGCCAATGTAAAAATAGGCTAATTATACACGTACTTTACGTTTATAAGAAACTTCATGTGTACTTCGTGGTTTATTTCCTGAAGACGGTGGAATTATTTCCACTGAAACTTAAAGTTTCTTTTAACTTATATTTTTTAAACTTTACAAATAAATTACAGTGTAAGTAAAAAACACTGATGTCTCATTTTATTAATTTTATTTAAAACTAAATTAAATCGTGCCACTAAAGTACAATTCATTTTGGGTATCAAGCATGATAAAATATTCCAAGAAAATATTTTATAAGACTTCATATGTGAATATTTCTCAACTTCATTACTGTAGGCAGATTGTATATACATGTGCCTTAGACTAAATATGGCTTGTTTTACAAGATTTCATACTTACAATTGATTTTTGGAATGGCAGACAATTTGGAATGCATGTCATAAGACTTCGAATTTCTATAGAAAAAAGTATTAAAAGTTATCATAAGTTAATTTTAAAAAACAGTCACGATTTATGTATTTTTTGCTTTGCAAATAAAAAATTTTTGAAGAATGTTCTTACAAGGCAGCAAGTACAGGGTGATCCAAAAATATGTTTACACTTATATGGGATTTTCTTTTACAGGGGTTTGATGATTGCAACAAAGTTGAGTTTAGAGAGAAGGAAGGTTGTATCCTGGATGGAGGTTCACCAGACTTCCACAATCGTAAAAGGAAGTTTAGTCAATACTTCAAGTTTGACCCACCTTCCACGTTGACTATTTATCAAGTATACAATAAGTTCATCAGAACTGGGTCCGTTGCAGACGATTACAAAGGAAACAGTGGTTGTCCAAGAACAGAAATGTATGACTGCTTTCAGATATGCATAGATATTTATGGAGAGCAAGTTATGACTGTATGAAGCATGGGAAATAAATAACATAAACCCATACAAGTGTAAACATTTTTTAAAAACACCCTGTATAATTTCTTTCTTGCTTGTGATATATTCCATTAACATCAAAGTACTTCAAATAATTCCTGTTGTTCTGTTTCTGAAAATTTTAAGAACATTTGAATATTTCTTATTAAATATTTAACTATTTTTAACAAACAGTTTGGGCTAAGTTCAGGTGTTATTAAACCTCATCAAATTAACATATTTGAAGTCCAACTATGATTCAGGAATAAAATAGTCATGTTGCATGAGACATCAACTTCATATAATAGTTAAAACAACAATAGTTTGGAGATGAAAATATTACATCTACTGTAGTTTAACGACTGGCTAATAAGAAACTAATTATACTTATTTTTTGTTGTAATCTCAGGGACTGGATAGTTTGAACCAATATGGCTCATCTTTCAGCCTTACTAAACAAACATATTCAGACAAAAAATAACATTTAACTACTACCTCTAACATCTGAACAAGAAAATTAACTCAGTAATGAAGGCCTTAATGAATTATGTCATGATGATCAGCTAGACTGAATGAATGAAATTATTCTTTGAGTATTTACAATATAGTCTGTAAGTTTTTCAAATCTTAATGAAAAAGAGTAAAAAATACCACCTTCTAGACGATCTCGATGAGTTCTTAATGGAAGAGATGGGTCATGGATAGCAAATACTTTTACAACAGTCCAGCCTTCCCTGTTTAAAAACAAAAACACATAAATGAAATTTTATATATTTATTTTAATGCTAACAATGACCTATCTCTGCTATGCCCACCACGTGTATAGAAATCCAGTTTTTAGCATTATAAGTCCACAGACATAATGCTGAGCCACAGGGGGGGTATGATAACAAGATGCAGATACAAGTATTAAAATCAAAAATTGAAACTCAAACTCAGTATTAGTTTAGTGTTTTATTTGGTGATATGTGATATATAATGGCAAAACTTCAAACGCAATACATGAAAAAAGTATTGGTGTGTTCAACCTGGGACAGAAAATGCTGGTCAGCCACAAGCAACATGAGGAAACATTAATAACTGAATACTTCTACCCATACATTTGCTAATTTCTGATGTAGCTGTGTCCAATAGGGGAAAATTTGAACACAAAGGACTCAACTGTGTCCAGAGTTAGTAATAAGTAACATTATTTTCCTGTAAATGATTAATGTATACAAAAGGTAAAACCCTGCTGCTAAACAAAACTGTTATAATTACTTTACAAAATTAATTTTCTGTAAGATCAGTAGCCTGTTTATCGATGATAGGTTTATTTATCAGAAGCCTGATATGTGGGTTACACATATGTTCGACTTAATTACCAACTTATAAATTAGATTCTGCAATTAGTTAGTTTGATATTTACAACACTTTTTAACCAACATGATTATTTTGCAAAGAATAGAAAAGTTGTTCTTTAACCCAAAGTTTTACTGATCCATGATGAAAGAGTTGTATTTAGCAGAAATGACTCAGATACTCTGACACTCATAATCTATAGTCTTTTTCTACGTATGACATAAAAGGGTAAGATGCTTGGAATGGTGGACAGCCATATGGTTATTTTGAATTCATCATATATACAGTTTGGTTAATCAGACAAGGGACTTTACATTTTTTTTTTTACACTGTGAATTAAATCGTATTATCTTCATTACATCAGGAATAACAGCCCACCACATATGCAGACTAAGATAACCAGCCCATTATCTTACATATGCTGTAATAAATCACACTGTTTTTAGTTTTGTAATACTATGTAAGAAGTCATTCCCCAAATACAGACATGTATATATTTGTAATGTGTAATAAATAATTGGGTCATTATACTGAAAAAAAACTGAATTTAATATTTTGTTTGTATTTTTCACATTCCTACTAGCCTGGGCCTAATACTTTAAAATGTACTCCCATACGTTGTTTTCCCAATGATGTGCTTACGTTTCTTTTTGGCCACTGAAAGTCATTGACTAAACACTAAACCAATGGCTTTTTTGGCAATTAGCCACCATTAATTTCAAGCCCAGGCTTAGTTATTATTCTGGTATTTGCTTTACCTTAATTTTAGTAGGTCATTGGACAAGAGGTAGGTAGCAGAAAGTTTGATGACTTATGTTACTCAACATTTTGAAAAGGAAAATAAGCATTGTTCAGAGAACTTTAAGCCAGTTAGTCATACTTTGGTAATTGGGAAAGCTTTAAAAACTCTTATAAAAGATGTTATGTTGGATTATTTGATGAGATTCAAAGTTTTCTTAAAAACCAACATGGCTTTGCAAGGGGATGGTCCTGTATTACTAACTTAAGAGTTACCTCTTAACTCATTGAAGATAAAAGAGTGGGTTAGTTAAACTTTCAGAAAGCTTTTGTTGAACTGCTGCAAAAAAAAGATTGTTGAAAAAATTTACCTTCCTGGAGTAATGGGTAAGCTAATTAAATGAACTAATGGTTGGCTGGGTGGGAGGAAGAAAACAGTTGTTATTAATGGGATATGGAATTCAGGCAAAATAAACTAATGTAATAAGTGGTATAGCTCAGGGATCTGTACTAGAATCAATGCTATTCCTCATTTACACTTATGACACTGATAGTTGGATAGTCATGAAATATTTTAAGATTGCTGATAATAGCACAATGGTTTGGGACACATGGATCCTATTGGTCCATCTCAGCTGTTCCATCCTCTAAACTAAATTAAAATAAATAAATCTTTAAAAAATTCTTAATGCCAGCCCTTATCATTCATATACTTATCAAGCTTTTTCTTAAAATCACTTAAATTTACTGCCTCCCCAACATCCGAAGAAAAAATAAAACTGTCTTAGCTGAACGATGATTCCTACCCTGCCAAAATTTATAT